TACCAGTTAGCAAGCAGGCTTCCTCCTGTACACAGAAGTTTTCTTTCTCATTCTTTCTACTTGGCCCAAGGCAAGGGATTCTTCCTCTAAGTCTGCGATGCCCTAGAAATCACAGCGGGATCTCATGTGGCTTCTCCTTCTCCAGATATATATGCCCAGACAGGGCAAGAATTTGCTCCCCAGTGGATTCTCGACTAGTGTGTTGAATTTAGCTACTGTAGGTGCAGAATAGTGCAAAAATATGATCTCAGTTCAAATTTACCATGTGTTGAAAAATATTACATTAGGAAGAATCTGTTATATATTTGGAAGGAGAGCTACTAGTCACTTTGCAATGAGCACCCTTGAATTTTGAATGTTATATTGATAGAGATATTTTACATTATATGATCCAAATTATGAATAGAAAATAGCATAACATAAATGTCCTAGAATTTTACAATTAATAAGGGCTGTTTTATGTGCCATGCATAGAAATAATGATGCTGTTTAATGAAGTCATTTTATAACCTAAGGAAGACAGAGCCTCACGCACTAAGTCATCTGTCACACACCGTCTCCCTTGGCAGTCCCTCACAGTCACATGGATCAACTCTCTTCTTGGAGTCCCAGCTGAAGGGAAGTCATCTGGGTAAAGCCACCTCGTCACTCAAGATCTTTTTCTTTCTAGAAGCTCAGACATGACAATGGCTATCCTGAAAATCAAAGTAGTAGTAATCTGCTCTTCTACCCCAAGTCCATGGCCATCTTGAGAGGAGACCCCTACCATCATATATGTTCTACCATATACATCATTTTTTCCAGGTCTTCTATAAACAATTGGTCATCACTACATGCTTTGTGGAAGTATCTTTATACGAAAAGAGAGGCCAAATTCTTTAGATCAAGGCACATGACTAAATACAAGAATCAAGATGCAATTACCTCATCTTTAACTCTACATTTTCAAGTCAATAGAGCTGTTATAAAATCACTTTCTCTCAAAAAAAAAAAAGCTACCGCTGGAAGTTTTCTAAGTACAGATGGGAAAGAAAGAATTTTTCTCTCTGATTTCAAACATCCTGCAATTATTTGGACTATTTCATAGAAGTGCTCTTCCGAACAGCATATGAATCCGGCAGTGCCCAAAAGAAAGGATCGCTACAGATTGCTCAGTCTCCCTCCTGTGTTTTTGTAGCTTCACGTCTTAGATGTAAAATTCCACTTGAGAGTTTCATATAAAAAGCACTCTCAGATTTATTTGCTTTTTAATATTATGAAATTGCCACAGAAATTGGTTTGGCACTTCATAGGACCCTGTACTTATGAAGTTAAACTTTTAGGGGTTGGAGACTCTTTAAAAATACTTATGCAGATTAAATATTTCTAAAATAACATCACAGTATAGCTGAGACAATGTACTATAATTTTGTGCCTCAATAATTGTTTCCGGTATTCTTATTTTTAAAATTTTTCTCTGACATAGTAATCATTCATTTTTTTGAAAATAAAATCTACCAAGAATGTTCTCTTCTTTCTTTCCCTATTTCTGCATAATTGTGCTAATATACTAGCTAGGGCAGTTATATTTTAAATGGCATGTATATATTTAGCAGCATAATTATGCAAATTATACCATGTTTATGATTGTAAACATGCTTTAGGAGCAGTTACTTAGCATCTAGTCCTGAAACAATTTTTGAAGAAGTCTGGTTGAAATGCTCCGAATTCACTCCTGAATCTACTTCCCTGCTGGGTGAAGGTGCGGCTCATAGTTCTCACTCATCAGACAGAATATTGCACAGTGGTAAAAAGTATAGATTCTTTAATGGATCTGGACATTCTATGCCATTTACTGGCTTTGTGACCTTCAGCAAGTTACTTAACCTCTCTGAGCTCAGTTTCTGCATCTGTACAACAGCAACGACGATAGAATGTATCTCACTGGGTCATCATGATGATTATATCACACAATGTATGAAACTACTTTACACAGTGTTTGGCCCATAAAAGGCTCTCAATAGACGATAGCTACCATCAATGTTCTTCTTCTTTTTATAGTCTTACCCAGCAGTATTACATTTCAGCCTAGTCATCAAGCTCTCCAAAAGAGTTCAGAATTATCCTTGAAGACAAGGAAGTATGGCACTTCTTCCTTTGTCCCACATTCTTATCTGTCTAGATAACCATGGGTTGATGGGTGGGAGTGCTGACAGCCAAATTTCCAGACTCATGTTCTTTTTACTAGAGAATCATTCTACATACACTTTTGCCATGTGCCTGGGTTGAGTTAGTGGGGATGTTTAGGTCTTTCAGTAACAGCCATTCTAAATGTAGAGAGGTGTGTGTGTGTGTGTAGGGCTATAGAAGAAGGGAATCGAGTCAGCCCATATACACAGCACTCCAATTCCACCCTCTGGAGATAAGTTGATTAACAGGTGAGGAATCATCTAGCCAAGATGTGAGAGAGAAAATTTTTCCTCTGCTTTTTCACATTTTGTGGAATGAAAATATGTGAAAACGTAAAATTATATTTATAATTACAATCACATGTCAGAATATTGTAGTGATAATGACAGTATATTTTAGGTGAACATGAACCTTTTTAGTCAATTTTTCTAATACTTGTTATTCTAGAAATAAGATAATTTGGATTTCCTAAAAAGGGTTCCTAACATGTGGAACAGAAATCGATAGAATTTTCTGAGCTTTGGTAAAATGGAAATCTCTGAGGTTGGCAAATCTTTTTTAAAAAGGAAATGGAAGCCCCAAAAGAATAGTGATGCTACTTAAAGCTAAAATTCTTCAAGACTTTGATCAGGGAGCGATATCTAGAAGACTCCACATATAAGCAGAGGGTTCCTTCATCTCATTTGCTCCCATAACCAAATACCGTGAAAAACTGGGATTCAATGATGTTCATTAAGTTATATACGTGTGGTAACTGCATGCATGACCCTGAGCTAGGTGCTGGGGAGGAAGTCAGACACCATCATTGGCCAAAATGTGCGTAGAACCCAGCAGAGTGGAAATGGCTTAATATGATACATGGTGGAAGCAAGCTCTTAATCCTCTTCTACCCACAAGGTGGGTCAGCATGGGGCTGGGTGGGGATAGTGGGGAGGAAGGATTCTGGCCGTCAACACCATACCCTGGAGATGGATAGTTTTTATTGTTTCCTGGACTAAACTCTTATGACTCTAGTCCCATCCTCTTGGTGACACACATTGTTCGACCAACCCCTCACAGCCCACCACAGCAGACGTGTTACCCTTTCTTCCAAGCACAGGACACAAGCTTCTGAGCCTAAGGCATGTCTTGGTAGATTTCCCTCTAGCTGTGACACTCGTCTGTTCCAACGAGCCTCAATTTTCATCCCACACCCCTCAGCTGTCTGTGGTCACAAGAAGCGTCCCTTTCTTTGATTCTGAGAATTTACCTTCTAAGGCCTTAGGAAAAAAGAGAATGAATACCACTTTCCAATCCATTTCTTAGTCCTACATAATCAAGCCGGTCACCATTGCTGTTTTTTTAGCTGTGTGAGAGGGTTAGAATTTGTTGTTGCATTAATGATCTCCAAACTTCCACGTTCATTCTCTCTCCATCCTCCTGGAAGCTTTTTTGCTGTGACTGAACAGATAAGGAGAGACGGCCCTTTCATGATAAAATTCTGCTTATGAAAAGAGGGCTTTCTGATTTGTGTGAAAAAAAGGAAGATAAGACAATTCACATTCCAGTCACAATTTTGGTCTTTTTTAAATAAAGTTATATAATAGTAAGTGGTATCACCATTTTTGGGGAGGAGCAGGGAATAGTGGTTCTAATAAGGTGCTGAGTAACTGAATATCTGGATCTTATTTTTCACACCCATTCTGAATTCATACATGAAACATGTAAAATGCTTAACCTCTTTTGGACTCAATTTCTTTGACTAGATTTTTATGGTTATAATTATTCTGTTGACTTTCTTCAACCAATTCTGGGGAGAGAAATCCCCTCTATCAAAATTAGCTTCTCTATTACTATAGGAACTTTGGAGAGTTTTTAAGATGTAGTAGGAAGGTTCTGGGCTGGTAAATTATAACAACATGTATTTTTGAAAAGAAATTTAAATATACAGAGTGTCTCATTCACTAGAAAATTTTTGCTGATCTCAGTATCACTCCTGAATAAGTGTTAAATCTAAACCATCCTATTTTTGTGCAAATTCATGTTTTATCACCCTGGATGACAGACAGCGACACATTCTTTCCATTTCCCAAAACCAGATGAGAAAACACAATTGCACTCCACAGGGAAAAACACAAATTGCCATTTCAAACAGATAAAACTTGAACTACTCACTCCTTATTTTCTTCTTTTTTTTAATTTTTTGTTTTTTTTTGTGAGGCAGATCAGCCCTGAGCTAACATCTGATGCCAATCCTCCTCTTGTTTTGCTGAGGAAGATTGGCCCTGGGCTAACATCTGTGCCCATCTTCCTCTACTTTATACAGGACGCTGCCACAGCATGGCTTGACAAACGGTGCATTGGTGCACGCCCGGGGTCTGAACCTGCGAACCCCAGGCTGCTGAAGTGGAGTGTGCACGCTTAACCACTACTCCACCGGGCCGGCCCCACTCACTCCTTATGTTCAATGGCAGATCAATTATTATAATCTCTTGATCTATTCGTCTGAATGGTTTCTGCTAATCACAATTTTCTTCCAAATTATTCAGATTTATACTAACGATGACACTGTTAGACCCATGCTCCAGAGGCCCCCACTGACCCCTCTTGTTGGTGTGTCTGCCCTCTGTTAGCATGGATATTGGCCTGCCTCACCTGACCACCACTGATTTAGAAACTCTTTGCAGACAGTGATGACCGTTGATCCTATTCTGTGCCCTCGGCAGCACCCCCAAGGCACACTGCACAAGGCCGGTGCTCAGCTGACGTCTCTTCTCTTTGTCTGAACTGGGAAGAGCAGCCCTCAACCACACACGGGCACAGACCACCCCCAGCCGCCCTCACCACCTTACCTGGTCTCTCTGTCTTTGGGGATTGTAGCGGTGCTATAAGCAAACACTTGCTTCTCAACTAGAGGAGGGCCGAGGTCCACAATGCCGGATAATCCTGGAGTGATCCGTGGCTTTTCAAGATACACCAAGGTGCCTGGCTCCTTTTTGAAGGCCTGGCGGCTCGGCGAGACCCGGTCTGGCTGCATGGGGAGAGGGGGCCCGTGCGCGTTATGGTGCGCGTGCATGTCTACCATTCTCAGGTCACTGACTCGGTGAGGTGAGGCGGGGGGCGTTTTGGCGCCCAGAGTAGGCAAGTGGCTGTCTGGATATTTCCTTGATTTCTGTCTGTACAGTGACTGCTCCATTTGCATTTCCGCTTGCAATGTAGGGGTGCAGTAAGCACTCGCTGACCGAATTGCTGTGCGGTGATATGCGATGATGTGATCAGGGACATCCAGGGGGTGTCCGCCGTGGGAAGAGGCGATGCTCATCCGCCCTTCATGATAAAGGTAAGGATCAGGGTAGAAGCCCTCATTTCGGTACATCGCAATGTTCTTGCCACTCATGTCTTCATCCGGCTTTACATCTCTTCTTTCCAAAATGGCGCTTGGGCTGGGTGAGATGGATCTGGAGACGGGCAGGCTGGCGAGTCTGTCCCTGGGGATGGTGGCATTGCCAGGAACAACCATTGGGCGGGTGCCCCCATACGGAATTCTGGACGGGGAGGGAGGCATGGAATGGGGCACAGGAGTGGACGGTGGAGAATTCGGAATGGCATGGGGTGGATGAGCTGTGGATCCAGGTCGAGAGGCACCAGGGCCATCTCCTCTTGCATAAACAATTTCTCTCTGCATCTGAAAATAAAACAAGTAATTAGAAAATCTACTTTGATATTCATGTTTTTAGAGAAGTCTCAATGAGACAGTGTGGCTTCCCTGATGTGGGAGGCTGAATAATGGCCCCTATAAGATGTCTGCACCCTAATCCCTGGAACCTGTAACTATGTTCCCTTATATGGCAAAAGGGCCTTTGCAGATGTCCCCTTTTAAGGCAAGATTATCCTGGATCGGGCCCAACGCAATCACAAGGGTCCTTATATGTGAAAGGAGGAGGCAGGAAGGTCAGAGTCAGGGAAGACTGACTGTGATTGACAGAAGAAGGTCAGAGAGAGAGCCCGGAAGACGCTACACTGCTGACTTTGAAGATGGAGGAGGGGGCCATGAGCCAAGAATGCAGACAGTCTCCAGAAGCTGGAAAAGGCAAGGCAATGGGTCCTCCCCTAGAGCCTCCACTGGGAGTGTGGTGCTGCCAACACCTTGATACTGGCCTGTGAAACCCATTCTGGACTTCTGATCTCCACAACTGTAAGATCATAAATTTGTGGTGTTTTAAGCCACTAAGTTTGTGGTAAGTTGTTACAGCAACCACAGGAAATGAATATACCTGATATAGACCTCAACATTGTGGGGTTTGAGGAAAAAAGAGTGCAGTGGTTTAAATTTTGAGGTCGTAGCTTCTTAGAGACACTAAATAATGCGGATCTGATGTATCAAAAGTGCTAAAATTATGTATTGTAAATCTTGTCCGGGTCACATTTTCTAGTATTGGCTCTAGAAAATAGTCAGTAAGCATCTTTCCAATCTTTCCAAGCTGATGCCATCTAGGGACATGGCCAGAGAGGGAAATGAGACAGGTGGAGAAAAATGGAGGAAAGGCTTATTGATTCACCAGTTCTTTACTTGAGTCTAGGAGAAATCAGCTCCAAGAGGTGGGGGAGAAATAATGGTCCAGGAGAGGCAAAACTCATAGTGGGGAGGGCAAGGGAGAGAAGAAGGAAGGGACTCCCAGGCATGGTGGGGAGAAAGTGTCCTAACAGTACACCCTGGGGCTGCCATGTGATGGTAAGGCACATGCTGGAGGAGGCCATGTAAGCCTGGTACTTCCTGCCCAGGCAGCAGTGACTTCCGGGTGTGTCATTACCATCCAGTTCAGGAGAGTGGGGACTTCCACAGCATCTTCCGTTAGCTCTCCTTTAGAAGAAACAATGACTAAAGGACCAATGACTCAACAACCATAGATACGGAGAACAGATTGGTGGTTGCCTGAGGCAGGAGGTGGGGGGTGGGTGAAATGGTGAAGGGGGTCAAAAGATATAAACTTGCAGTTATAAAATAAATAAGTTCTAAGGATATAATGTACAGCATGGTGACTATAGCTAGTAATACTGTATTGCATATTTGAAAGTTGCTACAGACTAGATTTTAAAAGTTCTCATCACAAGAAAAAAATTCATAACTATGTACGGTGACAGATGTTAACTAGACTTATTGTGGTGATCATTTCACAATATATATCGAAACACTGTGTTGTACATCTGAAATGAATACAATGTAATATGTCAATTATATCTCAATAAAAAAAAGAATCAAGTTAATGGAGAACTAATTTGCAATTACACTACTGTGTGTAGCAAGAGGCAGAATAAAAAATACAAATTAATTCAGGATATGAATATTTGATACTTTTTGTTTTGGTCAAAGCCCAAGAGGGTAATGTTCACTGAGATTCTCCACATGGCCACGAGGGAGGGGATGGACAGCGTAGGCACCTCCCAAGCCCACTCTTCAAGTTCTATTTGTGTTGTCACAGGAGCCCACATTCCCATCCAGACGTCTGGGAGATGAGATAGGCATGGGGGGCATAAATGGTTGGGGGGTGGGTGAGGTAGGGGCATGCAGAGACAGGAGGTGGGCTCAAATGGACAAGAACCAAGACGAGCAGCCAGGAGACCCAGAGTGGGTGATGGGGGAAGAGGGAAGAAAAAGCAGAGGCAACAGGAGAAGGCTGAAAATAAAGAGGGGCCAATACCCTGAATACGTACTGATTCCTCGTCTTATAAATTCACTCATTTAGTAAACAATATTTACAAAGCACTTGCTAAGAACCAGGCATTATTCTAGGATACTATAAATAAGCCCCCATACTATAAATATGCCCTTGAGAGGGAATATTTCTTAGATGAGAATCAGGGGAAGAACTGGCGGGACTCCCACGGCTTCCTTGTCTTGTCTCTGGAACCATCTAGCAGTGCAGAACCCCTGACCCAGGAGTTTTACATATTATGATGGATTTCATAATGGAAACGACCAATAAAAAATGCAAGTACGGTATAAATATGTAGCAACCAAAAGGAGCCCTTTGAGGATACATTACCTGAGCATCATTAAATTGGCTCCTCAGCCCCCTTAGGGGGCTGACTGTTTCTGGAGACCCCAGAGTATGCAGGCTCCTCACTCACAATTACATTTATCTCCACTGCCCCGACTTCCCCAACACACATGCATTCACACCACAATAGGCTAGTCTATTCCCTCTCGATAAACTGAACTTGGGATAACCTCAAGCTGTCCTCACCCCTGGGACTCTCCCCACTTCCTAGCCCTTGTGGATGCAAACTGAGGCTGAGCTCAAGGCTGCTCCACATGGCCCAGCCCTGACGCTCCAGCCCACGGGCGATCCTCTCTCCGCCCACTCACTTGACACCCTCATGACTCAGGTGCCCAAGGCCTTAGACCAGAAGGGCATTCCCAAGGTCACTGTGTGATCATATACCCAATTCTCACTCTAGAATGGCTGGAGCAACCACGTTTCAGAAGCTTTGCAGCAGATCAAAGCAGATCCTCTATAAATATACCTCTCCCATCCTGTCTTCTACAAGGCAGGGCTCAATGAAAAGAAAGATCTGGCTCAGTGGTAAGCAAGGCAGAGCTTCCCAGGTCATAAAATAAGAGAGGCACCTGCTCATCCAGCAGCGCATGATGGGCCAAATGCCCCTCACAATCAGACCGCACCACGCAGTAATCAACCCAAACAAACGCCAAGATAAACTCATCATATCGATTCAAACATGCCACTGTGTATAAAGCATACCGTGGTGCTCAAGGGCAATCTGGTGCAACAAATGGTAGGTACTATCGTCATTATTGTTATTAATTCCAAAAAAAAAAAAAAAAGGCTTTCAAAGGTCTAGAAACCTCTTAGGATGAACAATAATCCCAATGGGGTTAGTCACAACTCCCTGTTCGTTTCCCTCCTTGTTTGGCTTCAGATTACATCTTGATTTGGGAGATCCTGACTCCAATTAACACACATTGAACTTCTCCCTTTTTCTGGCAAGAGAATAAAAAGAGACGTCAACATTCCGAGGAGTACAGAACTGTCTATAAGGATAAAGAATATTAATGAAAGGAAAATGTAAAATTATTTTTAACTAATGGAAAGTTGAGTAAATTTCTTTTAAAACAACAGAGGTGCCTGTGTAAGTATTTTAAAAATACATTTGGTGATACGAAAACAAATGGTTAGGAGGTACATTATACAACTAACTTTTAAAATGAAACTCACAAAAAAAACTCAGAAAAAAATCTCATTAGACTTTCTCGATGTCCTGTATAAAAGATTTCAGAAAGAAATGTAACAATTAACAATAATTCTGATATGCTGTGCATTTATATGGGGAATGGAAGTGACAATCAAAATATTTAACATCCAGTAGCCAGTATCACATGGGTACCAAACAACCAGAATGGGGCCTCAGCCAACAAGGATGGAGTCCAGCCGCAAGCAATCAGCATCATATACCTGATGGTAATGCTGTATATCAGCCCTGCCTTGTCCACTTCAAAATAATCTTGCCATCATTCCACAGGGTCCCTGAAAGAATCACTGTCCTCCTGAGTTATCCACAGTGGAGGGAAATACAGGCTTCAGCTACGACAGAACAGGTAAGCTAAGGTTGAGTGTCTCCATCAATACTGGTGACTTAGAGGTTGGAAGCCTTTGGCAGAATTCTTACATTGGTTTGCCAAGCTATGACTGACTTTCCAAGACTGGGCTTTAAAAAGAACCCTGATAGTTTCATCTTCGGCTCTACATAGCACCCAAGGAGAGACTGACACGATGTTCCCATTATACAGTGGGAAAATGTTTTAAACCTACCACTAGAATGAACTCTTTTTTTTTTTTAAAGATTTTATTTATTTATTTATTTTTCCCCCCAAAGCCCCAGTAGATAGTTGTATGTCATAGCTGCACATCCTTCTAGTTGCTGTATGTGGGACGCGGCCTCAGCATGGCCAGAGAAGCGGTGCGTCGGTGCGTGCCCGGGATCCGAACCCGGGTCGCCAGCAGTGGAGCGCGCTCACTTAACCGCTAAGCCACGGGGCTGGCCCTAGAATGAACTCTTAAATTGAGATAACTTGGGTTTACACACTGAAAGATATGGATCAACCAAAGACAATTCACTCTTGGGATGAGGCGGAAGGTGTGGGGGGATGCGAAGAGAGACTCTCTTCCAAGTCTTCAGTGTGATCTCCTAAGGAGACCGCTTGCTGTTCCAATACAAAGTGGACCTTATGTACTCTGGGAGATACTCATTGTCTGATGACTGAACCCAAATGATGATTAAGACTTGATAATTCACAGTTATAAAAAATCCCAGCCTTTAGTGTTCTTTCCATGGAGATATTTTCCTAGAATCAGGCACCTACAGAATTTTGTTTTGTTTTTAACTATTTTTTTGGTGAATGAGCAAAGAAATGGCATTAAATACATACTGGGTTTTTCCTGCATTAGTACTCAAAGTTAGACCATTTAAAAGAAAATTGTATTAAACTTTAAAGGTAAAATAAATAAGCAAAACACACAGACAGCTGCTATTCACCTTAATATATCTAAATCCCTTATTCTCCCACCAATCTCTCTGATGCCACTAATCTTCTCTATCATCTCACTTCTCTTAGTAAGTTAAAAGTATCTGGATATGTTATATCATCAACACTTTTGCCCCGGAAAA